CAGAGAGCCTTTATGAATGTCAGGAATGTGGGAAAAGATTTTCCCGCTCAAATAGCCTCACTCGACATAGAAGAATTCATACAGGAGAGAAACCTTATGAATGTAAGGAATGTGGGAAAACATTTTCCCGCTCAAATAGCCTCATTCCACATAGAAGAATTCATACAGGAGAGAAACCTTATGAATGTAAGGAATGTGGGAAAACATTTTCTCAATCAAATCACCTCATTCAACATAGAAGAATTCATACAGGAGAGAAACCTTATGAATGTAAGGAATGTGGGAAAACATTTTCACTCTCAGGCTCCCTCGCTAAACATACAAGAATTCATACAGGAGAGAAACCTTATGAATGTAAGGAATGTGGGAAACAATTTTCTCAATCAGGTGCACTCATTACTCATCGAAGAGTTCACACAGGAGAGAAACCTTATGAATGTAAGGAATGTGGGAAAACATTTTCATTCTCAGGCTACCTTAATAAACATATTAGAATTCACACAGGAGAGAAACCTTTTTTATGTAAGGAATGTGGGAAAACATTTTCCTTCTCAGGTGACCTCAGTAAACATTGTAGAATTCACACAGGAGAGAGACCATTTGAATGTAAGGAATGTGGGAAAACATTTTTCTTCTCAGGTGACCTCACTAAGCATAGTAGAATTCACACAGGAGAGAGACCATTTGAATGTAAGGAATGTGGGAAAACATTTTCACAATCAGGTGACCTCAGCAAACATAGGAGAATTCACACAGAATGAAAACATTTCAATGTCAAGAATGTGGGGAAACGTTTAGCCACTCACATCAGCTAAGTAAGCATAGAGGAATCCACCCAGCGAGGACCTGTTAAGGCAGTAGCAAAATGCAAAATGTTTGTAATAGCAATAGGCAGGAATTTTGTTTCACTATTGTACACACGTGATTGGTATCATTCATAGAACCTATCAGTGCTTGTCTGTGAAGCCAGGGTATTTTGTAAACTTTGCGAAATCCCAGGAGTGTAAAATGTATTAATACAAATGCAAAATAAACATTTCCACCCAAATAAATGAAACCTAAAAACTTACGCTGAGCAGTACTTTGTTCTTTCAGCTTTGGGCAATCTTGCAGAAAAGGAAGATGGTTCTTTTACACAAAGGAGGACTTAACTGTATTGAAGACTCCCCAAGACTATTTATATCCCAAGTCCCTAAGTTGTCCTGGAAAGGGGTTACTCATGGGAGTGACCTCTCTTTACACGACTACGAATAACCCTGCCAACAGCTGCTGTTGGTGGAGAAAGGTGACATCTAGCACCTATACACACAAAAAATAGACTATAGAAGTGAGATCCGCAGTTGGGAAACAATCAGCTTGATGCTATGAACCTACTTGTATTCTGGCCAATCTGTTGTACAAATTATTATTCACTCATGTTTCTAAAGCTGTACTTTATGGGGAAAAGATCCTCCAGACTGTTTTCTGAGATTGTTCTAAGTGTTCACTAGGGAAAGGCAACATATCGTCATCAAGTGAATTCCAAGTGTTGGGAGTCCAATATGACAGTGCCAAGGTCCTATCGACTCCAAGGTCACACTTACTAATTGAAGTAGATTGTTTTCATCTTTTTCTCAAATATCAGTTCTTGAATTTGACCCTGAGGATATGTTTTCTGTGATCCCAATTCATTCTCCATATCTCACTCAGATGTGTAGCAAGTGATCAAAAACACCATTTGCTTGAATCTGTTCTAATTGGTACAGCACTTGTCTGGCAGTTTGCTGTACTGTGATTCCTTTTGACTTGCTTTGATACTGAAAGTCATGCAACTGGTGTATGAAATCCCGAAGAATTACCCACGGTGGACAGGTTTTAGTAGAGCTTCCAGATGATGACAGAATAAGAAATATCATTGCCTATTCACTTTTCAAATAATAGGCCTTTGAGGCCCCTGTTAACAATACAAGAGTTTGCTTACATGCTTTAAAAAGTTAATTGGATCAGTCATTGCTGATTTTTACCTATAAAAATAGTAAGTGCCACCCAGAGATGGCTGTATCAGACCTTTACCAACTTCACAAAAGGAAGTTGTCCTGGCAATACAATCAGTAATACGTAAGCTGTTCCCATGGGTGCAGGCCTGTCTCACCCTAACACTAACCCAAACTACCTCCCCTCCCCCAACACGACAAGTCAGAGAGAGACCTCACATAGGGAAACACTAAGAAGGAGGAGCAGGTGTGAGCAGACAGTAGTGATTGGAATGTGAGGTGTGTGGACATTGGAAAATGGAATACTGTTAATAAAAATGGAACACACAAACATTGACATACTAGGTATTAGCAAAATGGGATGGCTTGCCACAGGATGTGAATCAGCCGTGAAAACTAGGACAGGTGCTGATTGTGCTAGAGACCACCAGCGACTCCTATGCAAGTTCAGGCTCGAGTAGAAGACATTTTAATCAAAAGCACAGTAACGAACATCTCATCTTGAGTCTATCCCACCTGAATTTCAAAACCCTCTCAGGAACAGGGTTGAGGCCTTGAACTCCAATGTGGAAAGATGAGATGAGCTGTGGGAAGATATTGTGAATATCATGCATGAATATAAAGGCAGAGGGGGAAGACAAGACCAAGATGATTGCCAGAAGAAACTCTGAATGTGGCCCTTGAGTACGGAGAAGCCAAACAAAGAGAAGAAATCAAGAATTTGAGGAGCTGAACAGAAGATTTCAAAGGGCAGC